TAGCAAAATTAAAAATATTTTTTTACATACTGAAAAGAGTAGAATGGATTTTGATGGAAATTGAGTGATGTGGATACCTAAGACCTTGAGACTCTATTGTCAGTTCAGGCCGTCATAACAAGATAGCATAGACATTTATTTCTTACTGTTCTAGAGTCTGGAATGTCCAGGATCAGGAAACCTGATAGATTAGATTAGTAGATTAGATTCCCTTACGGGTCTCTTCCTGAATGCAGATGGCCTCTTCCTCACCGTGTCCGCCCACGGTATGCTCCCTCTTCCTCTCCTTTTAAGGATACTCATCCCATTTTGGGAGGCCCATCCTCATGACCTTGTCTAAAGCTTTTAATCTCAGTTTTCATCTTCCAATACCATCACACTGAGAGTTAGGGATTTAATTTGTAAATTTTGAGAGACAGAGAGCCTTTTGTGGACTAATTATATCTGTCTTAAAATTCTAACAAGATGGATGTGATTAAGGTCAATATAAAAGATATGGAGGACTTAAACCTAGCTAAAGGGCAGAATTTTAAAAGACCTGTAAGAATTCAGGCAGAAAAGTTACCAACAAAAGGATAAAGTCTAATGGATCTGAAAATATGTGTAGGGGTGGGATGTTGGGAAGAAACAATACCTGAACTGTGTGAGGGGTATTTTTAAGAGTTGCCCCTTCCAACTGTATACAGGTGGTTTTCATTTATAAATGCAATGAAAACATAATCCCCAAAAGAAAGAGTAGGCAGAAGGAATACTACATGAATCCTATCTGTAAAATAACTAAATAGAAAGCAAAATTAAAGATTGATTTGAATCAATTAGGAAACAATTTAAAGAATTATAAAGTATTACAAACTAGGAAATCACAGTATCAGAAATAATAGGAAATAGAATGCTATTTTAAAATAGAATAAATTATAATATTATAAATATGTGAAAAGATAACAACGTTGACATTCTTAGAAGAAAAATATGGAGTGTGATAGGAAAACAGTAATGAGAATAACAAAATGGGGTGAAAATCTCATATTAAAAAAATAGCAAATGAGGGGAATTGATGAGTATGTATTTTTCTTTTTTCCTTCTCTTCCTCTCTGGGCATTGAACCCAGTGCTTTGTTCATGCTAGGCAAGTCCTCAATCACTGAGCTACACCTCCAGCACAATGGGTATATTTCTTAACCTTACATAGAAAAGAAAAAGAAATTTTTAAATTCCATTTGATATTTAGAAAAATACAGATTAAATTGTTTTAAAACCTTTAAAGTAAGCTGTAATAAAAATAAAAGCAAACCAAATGACTTTCAAATTATTAGAGAAGCAAAAGAAAGCAAAAAGTAAAAGGAACAATTGTAAAATAAAGTTAAAATAATAAAATGTCAGGAATAAGACCATGATAATAAAAATAAATGACATAAAGTTAATTTAATAAACTATGTATCAGATTAGATACTAAACCCAAATGGAACTTTATCCTATCAGTAAAAGACACATCTAAAACAGGGCTTTAGAATACTATAAGCAAATAAATAAAAACTCACAAAATGTTGGATAAGACAAAAATGTAAATAAAAGTATTTCCAGCAGGCATAGATTTTTAAATATGAAATTTTAAACTGATCATAAGTAGAAGATGTTCACTAATGAGGGAAGTTACTGATGAAGATATGGTTTCCACAACCTTTATGAAAAGAATATCAAAACACTAAAATAAACCAAAAAATGATCAAGAATGTGTGAAGAAACATAAAAAGATATAAAATGATCAGCTTACAAGAGGAGAGATTGCTGATTGTGCATATATTCAAGGATGACGTATAATGTATCCTTCCAAGTACTTCAAAATTTGAAAACTTTTCTGGCAGGCGATTTGGTATTGTGTGCCAAGAATTTAGAGTCATTGCTTGTAATCTATTCTCTCTAACTCTAGGAAATTATGCTATGGACATAATGAGACAATGTCCTAGACTTAAACATTCACTAGAGTGTTAAAATCACCATCTCAACAATGAATGTTTTGGTTTGCATCGGATTTAAATGCAAAAATCAAAACTTCCTCTGAAAATGCTAGAAGGGGATATTTAGAATCTGTATATGATCTTTAAAAACACGAAAATAAATATTCAGTAAGAGATATTACAAGATATTTCACATAATATGGCCACAGGGAAATGCAAATTTAAATAAGGAGATAAAACTACAGATCTAATGTCAGACATTAGGTCTGTAAATTTTCCCAGAATACTGAGAACACCAAATGCTGATAAGAATATGGAGCTACAGGGCCACACATTCATTGCTGGTAGGAATGCATAAGGTACCACCACTTGGGGAGACACCTTTGCAGTTTCTTATAAAACTAAACATACTCCTGCCATAGGATCCAACAATCATGCTACATGGTTGTCACCCAGGGAGTTAAAAACTTCCCTTCACATGAAAACCTGTGTCCAGTTGTTTATAGAAGTTTATTCACAATTGCCCAAACTTGGGAGCTACCAATATTTCTTCAGTAGGTGAATGGGCAAATAAACTAGTACATTCAGACAATGAAATATTGTTCATCATTAAAAATATCAGGCCATCAAAAGACATGGAAGAAACTTAAATGCATGTTAGTAAGTAAAAGAAGCCAATCTCAAAAGGCTACATACTATATGATTCTAACTAGAACATTCTAGAAAAGGCAGAACTATGGAGAAAGTAAAAAGATCTGTAGTAGCCAGGGTTTGGGGAAAAAAGCAAATAGGCAGAGCAGAGAAGATTTTTAAGACAGAGAAAGTACTCTATATGATATTGTAATAATGGATAAATGTCTTTGTCCAAACTCAGATTGTGCAACACCAAAAGTGAACCCTAAGGTGACCTATGGACTTAGGGTGGTAATGATATGTCATGTAGGTTCATAGATGATAACAAATGGACCATTTGGGTTGGAGATTATAATAACAAGGAAGGTTGTGCATGTGCAGGGACAGAGTTTCTGGTTTATCTCTGTACCTTTCAGTTTCGCAGAAAGTTATTGGACTACATGTTTCCTCCTTTTGCTAATCCTATTTTCTATTTTCTGTAATCGTATGTGTGACTTTGGGAATCAGAAGCAAAAAGTCTGAAGGATGGCTGTTGAGTGACTTTTTAGGCTGCTCCTGCCTGGCTATTCTTTTCTATTGTACTGAGAAAAAAACATGTTCTTTTACATGTTTGAAATCTGTAATTAAATATGGTTCCATGCTCTGAGATGCTATTTTATTTTTGTACAGAATACTGATACCCAAACTTCAGGTTCATCAGAATACCTTTGAAAAGTTGGCTAAAAGAGAACTCTGGAGTGGCATCAAGCTGGGCAGGCAAGACCCTGTGTCTGCATTGCTGAGATGAAACAGAAATATAGAATGTAAAATATAGGAAGCAGCCACTTTATGGGTAGGAGAAATTGAGATGTTCAGTATGATGAGGAGTGAGACCATATGCTAGAGACCTGTCAACTTGGCAGTGGAAAAATCAGAAATGACATAAGATCCAGCCATGGGGAAATGAGATAGCTTAGGGCCTAGTCCTTGAACAAGTGACACTTTTGGGGAATGCCCTGTAACATAAATGAGCATTTTAAGCTGAGTCTATTTTTCCTTTTATTGCTTTCTTTCTTGAAAAAATAATAGTATTTTAATTATAAAAGTAACAGAATATTTTAAAAGGGCAAAGAGAACATAATTTTTCTACTACTGTGTTCACTCCCACCCTAGACCATTTTTTAAAGTTGTAAATGGACACAATATCTTTATTTTTATGTGGTACCAGGGATTGAACCAACTAGGCAAGCACTCTACCACTGAGCTACAGCCCCAGCCCCCTAGCCCACTCTTATTCCTACTCCCCAGCACTGGTAAATTTTGTTAAATTCTCTTTTTTTTTTCCTCATTAATTTTATTATGCACTGAAAGCATACCTGTCTCTCTATCAATAATTTATCTACTAAATGGATGCTGATCTACAATGGAGGGGGCATGGGGAAAAAATGGAGGAACTTTGGAATGGGCAAAGGGAGGGTAGAGGAGGGAGGAGGGCATGGGGATAGGAAAGATGGTGGAATGAGATGGACATCATTACCCTGGGTACATATGTGATTGCACAAACGGCATGACTCTACGTCGTGTACAACCAGATAAAGGAAAAGTTGTGCTCCATTTGTGTACAATGAATCAAAATGCATTCTGCTATCATGTATAACTAGTTAGAATAAATTAAAAAATTACCTATCACATTTTATACTAACTATATTCTTCCATATGTAAGTTTCAATCAATTGCTTTGTGAACAGGGACATTTTTCATATAAATACACACAGATTTTATTTTTTTGAAGACAATTATATGCATTTTTCTGGACACACGTTTGCAAGTATGTTTGTAGGATACATTTCTATAATTTCCTGTGCCTCATGGTATGTGGATTTAAATTATTTTGATATTGCCAAGGTGTGGTCCCAGCAGTTCTAATGCTTTGTTTTCCCTACAACAACATGCTAGACTGTTCCTTTCCTCCTGCCTGACCTGTGCTAGATATTGTTACTCTTTCAGATATTTTCCATAGTTCTGGTTAAGGAAAATTAAGGATATTTGAGATATGTTCCTAAGTATTTAAAGGATCATCATTGAGTTCAAAATAAGTTTAGCTAAATTCATAGATAAATGCTCAAGGAGGAATTAAGGAAGCAGGTGTCTTAGTTCTAGAGAAATACTTGGTTTTGACTCTGGCTACACTATCAGTTGCTTTGAGTAGAGTGGCTTAATTTCTCGTTACTGGAACTTCCTGAGCAATAAGAATAGGATAATTATCATTTTCACAAGAGACACCTGTAGGGAAGTATGGGACATTGTCTGGATAAAGAATAACTAGTAGCTGTTAATAAAATTGGATTTCTTGAGGCAGTCTTATTTTTTAAGGAATTATATCAGTGGATTGACATTCTCTTTCATGATATTTTCTCCAGACTTGGTCAGCACAAGCGATGCCATTTGTGTCCTGATCTTCTCATTAAGAAGCTTAATCTCTCAAAGCCAGTGAACAAGGTTTTGCAGCCCAGTGGGTGGTGGAAGACTTACTAAGGTACAAACTTGCTGTCATCAGCAAATGAAAATACAGGACACTAGTTAAATTTGAATCTCAGAGAAATGCTGAATAATTTTCATGTTCTATGCAATATTTGGAATATAGTCACGCTAAGTTATTATTTGTTATATGTTTGAAGCTCAAATGTAATAGGGTATCCTGGCAGTACTAGTCAAGTGTGCCACTGAAGCACCCTGGCCAGTATCTGCAGGTTCATGAGGTGACTGCATCTTTGGAAGACTGAATCTCTTCCTCATGACATTACATATAGTGCTGTTTTTTTTTCTGTCTTAAAACATTTTACTCATGTCCCTGTGCTGAGAGCCATAGCCAAGTAGGAATGACTCATGGCAATTTCCTTGTCAGCCTACCCCATGTTGCTTAGAGGAAGGACTCTCCATTGTGGAAATGGGCTTGCCTTGGACCCAGGTCATTTGTAGTGAGTTTTGGTTTGAAAGGTGACCCTGCTCAGATATTAGGGTGGGTCCAGGTTTAGGGTGGATCCTGCTGGATTAGGGTGGCTCCAGGTTTAGGGTGGATATCCTGCTGCCTCAGGTGACCACTCCTTGAGTTCCCATAGAGTTCTCGTGGGGTTCTGAGAGTATTTGGTATGCAGAGCCCGGTGGAGGGTGTGGATTTTCCCAGAACGTGCATGCATGTAGAGTGCTGGTGAGAGTTCGGGAATAAAGAGTTGCTGTTGTAATCTACAAGGCTTGTGTGGTGGCTCGGTTATTTTGTGCCCAGATAGACTGCGGCATCCCTGCCCACATCCAAAAAAATTACAGATTTTTTTTGAAAGTTTTTAAAAATTTATGTTATGCTGAAGTGGGTCAGACTTTGAATTCCATTTTTATTCTTCATAAATCGCAATATCTAGTATGAAAAATTGGTAATTATGACCTGGGGAAACAGATGGTTTAGACCCCATAGTATACTAAATGCTTTAGTATAAATTAATGGAAATTCATTTTAAAATATTCAAATAACATTCATGTAATGTATAGTGTTATTTTTGTATTGTTAATGTGTTTGGTATGATTTATACACTCATACTATGCAGAATCCCCAAAGTCAGTAATAACAGTCACAAAAGTTCATTCTACTTGCTTAAAGAAGGGCTATAATCTTTATCACCCCTCCAGTTATTTTTGTTGTGGACAATTACACATAAAATGAAATTTAGTAACTTAAATATTTAAAATGTACAGTTGAGTGGTATTAAATACATTCACAGTGTGGTACAACAATTGTCAACATCCACTGCTGCAGTCTGGCTGGGCACAATTCAGGAGCCACTTGTCAAAAGAAACTAACTTTATTTTTAGAACTACAAACGCCAAACAAAACAACTCCTCAGGAAAAAACCCTCAGAGCCCAACTGCCACCACCGGCTTCCACAAGCCTCTCACCCCCACCCCAGCCTCTCCACCTCCCACAATCCTCCTGCTCTTGAGGCCGATTGGCTGGGTTGTGTGGGCGGAGCCAAAGAAGTCCCCCAATGAGCAGCTCCGTGGAGGAGCCAATCGGCTAGATGTTGCTGGGGCCGCTGTGAGCCAATCATCAGCTGGCAGTCTGAAGGGCAGGGAAACAGCCCAATGAACAACACCGCAGAGGAGCCAATCAGCTAGATGTTGCTGGGGCCGCTGTGAGCCAATCATCAGCCGGCAGCTGGAAGTTTGTTGGCAGCTGGAAGTTTGCTGGGGCCCCTTTGGCTGTGGCTCTCAACAATCCACCTCTAGAACTCTTTTCATGTTGTAAAACTGAAATTTAATACATTTCACTTTAAACAAATAATTCCCCATTGTCCCCTCCCTCCATCTCTGGCAACTACCATTGCACTTTCTGGTCGGCTCTATGTACCTTATATAAGTGGAATCATGCGTTGTTTACCCTTTTGTGGTGTGATTGACTTATTTCATTTAGCATAATGTCCCCAAGGTTCATCCATTTTGTAGCATATATCAGAATTTCCTTCCTTTTTAAGGCTAAATTATAGTTCATTGTATGCGTTTGCCATATTTTCCTTACTCCTTCCTCCATTCTGGACATTTGGATAGCTTCCATATTTTAGCTATCGTGAATAATGAATGCTTCTTTGACCATAGGTATATAAATGTCTCTTCAAGAACTTGCTTTCCAGTGCAATTCACAATGGCCAAGTTATAGAACCAGCGAATATGACCATCTGCAGATGGGTGGATAAAGAAAACTGTGGTCTATATGCACAATGCAGTTTTACTCAAAAAAAAAAACAACAGTCTTTTAAAGGAAAATGGATGGTAGTTGAAAGCATTATATTAAGTGAAATAAAACAAATTCAGGGGTCATATGGTTTCTTTCATACATGGAAGCTAGAGAAATAAAAGGAAACCTCATGGAATAGACCAGGAGACTAGAGGACGGAGACTGGGAGAGGGAGCAGGGAAAGGAAAGGGGAAATTCTAAGAGAATGAAATTGAGCTAAGTGAGTTACATGTGCATGTACAAATATGTCACAATGAATTTTACTACTTACTATTATAAGACATCCATTTAAAACCCTTGTTTTCAATCTCATTTGGTATAGATTCAGAAGCAGAATTATTGGATCATATGGTAATTCTATTTTTAATTTTTTTGAGGAACTGCCACCGTATATTTTAGGCTATACCATGTCGCATTCCCATCAAAAGTTCACAAGGGTTCCAATTTTTCCACATCCTTAACAATTATTGTTCTTTTTTAACTGACAAATAAAAATTTGACATTTATGGCATACACTTCAAAATATGTGTACATTATGTTATGTTCAAATCAGAGGAAACATCTATCTCCTCATTCTTTTTTTTTTTAATAATCATCTGGATGGATAAGAGGTGGTATCTCATTATAGTTTTGATTTGCATTTTACTAATGATTAGTGTAATTTCACTCTCCATGGCTCCCTGGAGCACTTCTTACAGGGCTGTTATGATGGTAACATACTCCCTCAGCTTTGGTTTATGTGTGATGTCTTATTTTTTCCCTCATTTTTGGAGGATAATTTTGTCAAATATAAGATTCTTGGTTGAGAGATTACTTTTTATCAGCATCTTGACTATGTTGACCCACTGCCCTCTGGACTCTTTAAGTTTCTGATGAGAAGTCAGATAATCTTATCAAGGATCCATCCTATGTGATGAGTTATATGTCACTGCTTTCAAGATTTCCTCTTTCAAAAGTTCAATTATAATGTGTCTTGGTGTGTTTCTCTTTGAGTTCATCTTAGAATTCATTGAGCCTGGATACTTACATTTATATCTTTCAACCAACTTAGGAAAGTTTCAGCCATTATTTATTCAAGTATCCTCTGTTTCCTCCTCATCTCTTTATGGGACTCCCACAATGTATATGTAGACCTGCTTGGTGGTGTTGGATGGGTTCCTGAGGCTCTATTTTCTTTTATTATTTTCTATGTATTTTAATTTATTTTTATGTATTTTCCATTGTTCTATCTTCGTTCACCAATGCTTTCTTCTGCCTGCTCACACCCGTCTTTGAATCCCTTCAGTAATTTTACTTAATATCTCCAGAATTGTTGTTTGTTTCCTTTTAGGTTTTCTGTCACTTTATTGATATCTCCATTTGGTTTACATGTCATCTCCTTAAATTTCTCCCATAACTTCCTTTAGTCTTGGGTATCTTACAACAGTTATTTTAATAACTTGGTGGATTTTTCAAGGACAATTGTTGTTGAAATTTTTTCTTTTAGGTCAAGATTCCTTGCATGTCTTGTAATTTTGTTGAAAACCCGACGTTTGCATGTAATAATGTGGTAATTCTGGAAATCAGACTGTCTTCCCCAGGCTTTGCTGCTTTTGGTTATGGCTTTTGTTCTTTTTTGTCTTGATTGTTGGAGACTGACTGTGTGCTAATGATCACACTGAGGTATAAACTTAAGGCCTACACTGAGTCTACACCTTCCCCAGGGTAGGCATAACTACTTTCCAACTTTCCTAATATATGCAGTTGGTTTTGAATATTCTATTATTTAATGTCATACTCCCAAAAGGGGGAAAAGAAAAAAATGAAGGAGGAAGTAGCTTTAGTCAGAAGGAGAGGGGCTTACAACAGTGTGGAGGGCTACGAAACAGTAGTTGCCTCTGTCTTTGTGCCCTGTGATCAGTCATAGCAATCAGAGCACAGACCCCTAGTCCCCCAGGACAAGAGCTTTCTTTCCCTCCTTGGCTTCTTTCTACCAGCTATGTGCAGAATGTATTCAGAATCCCCTCCCTTGGTCTGGGGATGGGGTTTGGGATGATAACTGCCTGTGCTGAGTAGAAATCGACCAACATTAACTGCAATTTACCATCCAAACCTCCCTCTGGAAGTTGTAAGCCTTCAGTAGATTCCAGAGTTCCAAAATAGTTACCTCAAATTGATTCTGCCATTGCAAATTGTCAGGTTTCTGTTGCTTCTTAGTTTATCATCTTTCCAGAAATGATGATCAGTATCTTTGTCTCTAAATTAGAATCCACCCAAGAGAGCCTATTTACAAAAAAAAAAGAAAAAAAGAAAAAAAAAGCTGTTGACTATTTGGGCATGGTAGTAGCATTTTGTAGACAATTCCTTAATGACATGCTTTAGTTTAAAAGCGTCAGGAAAGAGAGAATATAAAGATGATGTGTTATTGATATACCCATAGAACTTCTAGCATTGTATTATCTGGGGAAAAAAAAACTTTAGAAATACTTATCTTTATTTTGATGCTGCTTCCCCAGAACTCAAGATATATTCTGAAACATCTCCCTTTCCCAGTGAGTCAAGCAGATCTCTAATATTATCCTCTCCTCGACTTGCCTGGATCTCTGGACCTTAGGTCAGCCAGGGTTTCAGCAAGCCTTTCTTCATTAAGACCTGTGTTTACATCAGAAAATGGTGCCTCTGCATAAGTTCAGGAGAACTATTTAGTTCTTGTTTTCCACTTTTGCTTATTTGTGAAATCTTGCAGAACACCCACAAGATGGAGAAAATAGAGT